TTTTCATGCTATATTTTTCTATACAATGCTCTTATATCCGAAGATATTGTTGGCTTAGCATAGGAACAGCCACAATAGTCATTAAGACTAATCCAACATTTTTGCGTACCGAAGTACTACTCAAGCGCTGAGTTGGCGGTGACGGGATTTGAACTCGTATCGTTCAACAGTCCAGGTTTTAACTTTTCCTTTAACGCTCTAACCATCTGAGCTATCCCGCCACGATTTTGATAGTAAAAATGTTTGAATATTTGTTTCAGATATTGGTGGTATAAAATTTAAAAGCATAAATTCTTCTTTACTTTTAGTCAGCAACCTACTTTTCTGAATAACTCTTTTTATTTTCGAAAACAAACTAAGGTCATTATCACTAATTTGAAAGTTGGAAGAAAATCGTTGTTTAAAAACTGTGCACACATTGGATAAGTTTTTTCTTCTAAACTTTGATACCATAAATACAAATCTCTATTCTGCATTTTAAACAGCTAGATATAAAAAAGTGTTAAAAATATAAAGTTACGTAAATAAACGCTCTCTATAGATGCACATAAATAACTCGCTATATGTAAGTTGAACGGAGTACCCATAATGGCGTCAAGAAACATCGAAAAATTAATGAAAAGTATTTTTTTTTTAATTGTAAAGTCCAGACATAAAAAACAAATTATTATAAAGACAAATATCAAATATTGTAATTTGATAAGCTGAATATTCTTTTTTGATGTGCTAGAACCTTAAAAAAGCAATTTAAAACAGTATATGTACTTGTCAAAAAGTGTCAATAAAATAAACTATAAAATAAACGGCCGTTTGTCAACGGGAACGGGATTAGCAAGGAAAAAATAATCACGTGAGCATGCGTAATAAAAGTTTTTATTTGTGCGAAAGAAAACTGCGCATGCTCACGTGATTATTTTTCCGTTCCCTTTCCCTTTCCCGTAGAAAAACGGATGAGTGGAAACTCACCTTAATATTAGCTTTTTTAATGTGGATTTTTTTACTTTAACATCAAGTTAGAGTACTTTCCTCAAGTTTTCAGACCTATGTTTTTATATGATTTAGAATCAGTATAATGTACTCTATAAAAATTAATCATAAAAACAAAGGGAGGGGGGGGGGGGAAGAAAGTCGAGTAGCGCCACATTGCTTTCAATGAGGCACAAATAACTAAATTAAGTCTATGACTGTTGCATATATATATATATATATATATATATATATATATATATATATATATATATATATATATATATATATATATATATATATATATATATATATATATTCTCACGAGAAAATCTAGTTGGGTATTTATGACTTATTTCGCTGAAATAGGGTTGAAATACCGGCGGAGATATTTTATTTTGTACATAAACTTTAAAACAAGATGTATGTTAATTTTGTATACATTCAACGCTCTAAGTTTGCATAAGGCCATGTCATACATTTTGACGAATAAACTTACATATATTGTAATTGAAAAAACTTATATTTTTGTTCCGAAAAATGCCTGCTGTATTTAGATATTTTATTGTAAAAAACGACCCGTAATGAAGCCCAATGAGGCTCAGTGATAAGAATATAACTAATGTCTTCTTCTTTCAGCCATTTATTTTATTATTTATGTTATTTTTTTTTTATTAGTTGTAACTTTCTACGGCAAAATTAAATAATAAAATAAAATAAAACAACTTTTTTTATAGAAATTTACAATTTTTCAATAATAAGTTATAAAATCTTGAACATTAATTGTTACTTCAAAATAAAGATTTGACAGATTTTTATTTTCTACCACTAAACAGAGGTTTGCGCAATCACCAAACAGAGGTTTGCGCAATCACCAAACAGAGGTTTGCGCAATCACAACCAAAGGGTTTAAAATTTTTAAAGTTAGTTATAAATTATAGTTTTATTCATAACTTTAAAAAGTAGACAATATGTATAACTTTTCTACCGCTAACGAAAAAATATTGAAGTAAGGTATACCGTAAAAACCCCTAAAACCGGATGGTTTAGGACTTAAATTGTCATAACTAGCTCAATATAAAGAATTTTGAAATAATTTTTTAAATTAAACAAACTACATAAAAAGACAAATCAAACAATATAAAAAATATTATTTTTGAAATATAAATCTATCTTTTATTTTATTTTTAAAAAATATTGTTTTTATCCGGAATTAGGTGCTTATGTCCCTAATTCCGTATAAAATACAGAAAAACACATACACAAATAATACTAACATTAAAATAATTATTTTAATCCATTAGAAAATGAAATTGTTTAATAAAAAAAGAATATATATTATTTTATACACATTCGTTAAAAATAAATTTCATGGTTAGATGATAATCAAAGACACATTCAATGGATGACCAATTTGAACACTGCTCACACGCAAGCCATTGGTTATCTAAGTTATTTGTCCAATTAATTTCGCAAGAATAACATAGAAGATCATCAGATACTAAAATTTTATTTGAAGCTTGAGAAAAATGAGGGTCTTCTAATTGATTTTTTGTCTTTATACCTTTTTTACCTGGTGTTTTAGACGACTGACTTTGTCTCAACTTTTTTTTTTCTTCTCTTTTCTGTGCATTTTTCGTTTATTGAATAGCAGTGGTTATATACTTTATTGTTCTCTAGTAAATTTACTAGTGGAAATTTTTTTTTGTTCTCTAGTAAATTTCTTTGCAGCTTGTTCATCTAATTTTTGTTTTTTTGATGCTTGTTCAGCTTCATCGTAAGCGATAGCATCCGCCGAAGTCATATTATAATGGTCGCTTTGTTCTCTCACTTTTTGAACTCTTTTATTTAGAGTTGGTATCAATTGATCTCGAAGCATATTTAACACTGATTTGTTTATATCTTTGCCCACTTGTTGATCAGCATTATTCAAAGTAGCAAAGCTTTTAAGCAAAAGTTCACGATTTTACATTCTTGACGGTGTGTAAGGTGTATTGGTAGTATTTCCCATAACTAATGGACTAGATACTGTTAAAGAATCAAATAAATTTTCAATATTGTTGTTTTCGACAGCTTGAAACACAGCACCAATGGAAGTTTTTTTAGAAGAAATTTGCAAACGATCGGGTGGAAATATACCAGTATTTTTGAAACCACACCTTGCATTTTCAGGTTTAAACCCACCATTTTCGATGAGATCCTTAAACATGACCGGAAAATGTAGATTATTCAGGCTTTGAAAGTGATTTTTAGTCAAATAACTTTCGGCAATTCTCTTCCATGCGTCTTTTACTGTTTTAAAAACGCCAACATCTAGTGGCTGTAAAAAATGTCTGGTATGAGCCGGCAAACGCCAGAGTAAAATATAATTTTCTAAAGCTTTTTTTTCAACTCTAAGCTCATATGTGAAGCATGGCCATCAAGTATTAGAACTTTAAATCCTGAAAGTTTGTTTGCATGAGGCAAAAAAACTGTTTCATACCACGACAAAAAATGTTCGGATTCCATCCAGCCTGAACTACTACTGTTATAATAAACATTCTGGGCACCGCCTTTGCACCAGCCTTTCATAACATGTTTATAAATTATTTGATGAGGTAAATAATTACCGAATACGTCACAACAAGTCAAGATTGTCGTCATTTGCTTTTCATTCGATGGTGCTAGCTTTATAGGGTTTTTTGTTCCTTTTTTACAAACAATTTTGACTTTGCCTTGATCAAGTTGCAAACCAGACTCATCACAGTTAAATATTTGAAACGGCTTATCGCCTAAATTATGTTCATTATATGCTACTGCTAAGTGCTCAAACCAATTGTCAATTATAGCTGGTTGTGTGGCCACAGCTCTAATAGTTTGCATACCGCTTACTTTTCTTGGGCAAATTTCTTTACGATATTTATTCATGAAGCCGGAGTACCATTTTCTAGTCGGTTTGCCGTCTTTGAATAGACTACGTTGGTTTGATTTTTTTAAATAGTTTTCAACAACAATAAACACGTCTATTCAACCCGAAGCCTATATCACTCATAAGTTTTAATAAATCAACAATAGTAACTTCAGTGATGTTGCTCATCTTTCTTGGCGCTCCTCGATTATTAGATGATCCTTTTGTTCTGTCAAAAAGTGTAGATTTTGCCACATTATAACACTTAGCAGTTTGTACGTATGAAATTTTTTTTTCAGTAATAGCTTGAATAGCTAGCTGGATTCGACTCTCTCGCTCTTCTTTTTGTTTAAAATTATCCATATTCTTTAATACAGTAATACAATTAACACAAATGCGTTAACTTTATTAATTATCTTTTCCATTGTGGCTATTTTATTTTTTATTACTTTAATGAACATAATATATTATATTATGTGCATGAAAATATTAAAAAATAAAATAGCCAATTGTAATTAACTGTATCCAGGACTCAAAGGTGTATTTGTTTATTGCTGCTGGCTAATTTGTTTATTATTTTTTTTAGGTACATTAGATAATAATTACCTCTATCCGGAATTAGGTGTCTTTTTTTTTTGGCTGGTAGCAAATTTGGTTTTCATTTTTTTCAATTATTTCAAAAGTTAATTTAATTTTTTTTGGCTAAAATAATCAGCATAAAATTCTGCACAAAATAGTGTTTTTACTTTTTTAATTTTTTTGTTGCAAGTCAAAGTTTTTTTTTTCCTTTTTTTTGTTTTTTTAGTTATGAGAGATTTCAAATTGAAATCTTTCATGATTGCATTAGTTTATATAATTTTTTTTTATATTCTTCGATTTATCTCGTAAAGACGTTTATTAATTATAAAAAATTATTCATAAATTCATTATATTAAGAGAGTTATAGAACCTTTTACTAAAACCATCCGGAATTAGGTAACATCCGGAATTAGGGGTTTTTACGGTAAGTATAGTCGGTGTAGAATAGACCCGTTATTTTCTATTATTGCTATTATTGCTATTATTATTATTGCTATATTATTATTATTAGAATAATAATAATAATAATAATACCGGCCTGACGAGGAAATTTCTCTTTTTAGATTTTGAATCAAATTTTAAATTAAATTAAAACCTTTGCTTGGGTTTTTAAAAAGAAGTTAAATTATTATTTTATACCATAGTACATATAATGTCAAATGATTTTAAATCTTATCATATAATTTAACGAGATTCACGATATGACGTTTATACTTAATAAATATGGATCAAAATATTCGGCAATCTGGAATTGTAAAGTTTTATATGATAAAAATTTTGCAGTTTTTGCATTTTCTCGTAGTTTTTGGTTTTTTAATAGCTGGTATCAAAGAGTTCGTTGAAAATCCTCCTTTATTTGATGCATACGGTGATGCATTTATTAAAAACAAGTTACCTGAAGGAATATTTGAGGTATTTTTAAGTTTGTATTAGTGTACTATGTGACACATGTGTGTGTGTTTGTACTATGTGACACATGTGTGTGTACATATAATGTGCACACACACACACACACACACACACACACACACACACACACACACACACACACACACACACACAAAAACTCTTTCACATAGATTTGATAAAATACTAGATAGTTATATATCATAGGTAAAGGCTATTTATACATTGCAGTATTTTAGCTATACAATACAATATTTTAATGGTGTGAACATCAAAATCAAATAATTCCTCAAAAACTTATGAGGTTTTAATTAGCATATTTTTAATATATGGATTTGTTAAACTGTTGTTAAAATTATTATTTTTTTAAATTTGGATGGTTATAACTTTTTCAATTCTAATCTAAATGCATATCACTTGGTATCAAGCAATAGGTATAACTATGAGCTACAAATTTATATAAGCTTTTAACATCAAGCGTTTCTAGGGCTAACGGGGGTGCCAAACCATCCACATTTACGATAATAAAATGCATATTTCGTTCATAAAAGAGTGCTTTTTTATGAAATTGATATTTTTTCATTTGAAAAATTATATCTTGTTATGAATTGATAAAATGAAAAATGGTATTTTATTATATATAAAAAATGATATTTTATTATATAAAAATGTCAAATTTGTCATATTTGTTTATGGGTATAGAATCATTACTTGCAGTACCTTTTTACAAGTTCTATCACTTATAGTATTTATTTTGCAACCATTATCACTTTCTGTATTCATTGCAAATGCAGAAGTAATCCTATCAAATAGTATATTATCCATATGTGAGCCAGCTCACAAAGATTTCTTTCCATTTTGCTAGTTATTGTTTATTATTTTACTTTTAAATTATATACTCTATTGTTTCATATTTTGCTGTAAAATAAGTGATGAAAAATTCTTGTTGAATTTGCAATCATAAATCATTGTAAATTCAACAAGAATTTTTCTTATTTCATAATCTTTATGAAATAAGAAAAATTCTTATTGTGAAGCACTGTTACTTATTTGAAAGTCTTGGTAATATAAAGGGAGAATTATATTATTATTATTGTATCAATGATTTAATCATTTAAGAAAAACAATTAGCAGCTTTAGACATGCTATAGCTGTAAAAAATAAAAAAGCTTTTGATGAAATGTATAAACAAGCCTCAAATGTCGGGAAAATTCTGTGTGAAAGTAACATTGCAAAAGAAATATTAAAACCAAATAACTCCTGCTTTGTTTATTAAGACAGTCTTTTTGCGTCATGCATTTCTTGCATCACATGCATCACATGCATTGCATCACATGCATCACATCGACATGCATCACAAAAAACTAAGCACACACTCATTTTTTAGTCGTTATTAAATTTATTTTTCCATCTTTTTGTAACAAAGCTAAAACATGTGTTTTTTCTGACCTAGAAAATGTGACATATGTATCTCCAAAATATATGGCTAAATATGTTAACATTATCTTTAATTTTGTCAAAAAGTCTTTCCTCCAATCCAGTGTGTATAATGACGTTAAAAAAAAAGGTTTTTTATTTAATAAATAATGAAATTGTCAGTTTATGATCGAAATTTAATATTTTGTTGCTCATCCATCATGCTAAAAATTAGTTAGTTTTTGATAATAACATGCTAATATAAAATGCTTTTATACTAGCATTTTTTTAGTTCTAATTTAATTCTTAAATGTTCAGTTCGAAGTATAATAAATAAGTTTATACTCTCACCTGCAAAATATATAAAAGGATCTAAATAAACAGAAGAGTTGGAATATTAAAAATTAAAAAAAAGTAAAACAATTAACAGTATTTTTAAAAAAGGAAAACAGTATATGATATGTATGCAACAGTTGGAGACCACTTATAATGAAAATTAAAAAATAACATAATCATTTTTATTGATATCATCTTTTGGTTGGATTATGATGAAACAGCTTTTATATTAGCATTATTTTAGGTCAGACGATGGTCTAAGCTATTCAGTTCAAAAGATAAAAAATAAACTAATACACTCATGTAAACGAGGGATCTTAAAAAATGAGAGGTTCAGAATTTTAAAGAAGTAAACAATAAAAACAACAAACTTTTGCTAAGTAATTTTTCTCAACATTTTGAATGGCTGCAGCAAATTAAATTTATATTAAATAAAATTAATCAGAAAAAACTCTTAATTAAAGATGCTGTAGCTTCTTGGATGTCACAAAGTCTACTATAGCAATACTCTTTTCCCAAAACCAACAATACTCTTTTCCCAAAACCAACATTTCAGAAAATATTTTACTGAAACCGATACCGACATTTCGGCTAGTCAAAATTAATTTCATTAGAAAATTTGACTTAAAAATGCAATTTTACATTTGCTGTTTTTTATACTTGTATTATGTTAGAATTGATTACACGCGTTTTACAAATTGAGGTTTAATACATAAGTTGGCGATATAAGTTAACAGCGAAAATTGACAACTGGCAAGAATTTTTCTAGGTATTTTATGAAAATTCTTAAATAATAATAGTTTTTTTTTTCTAATAGTTTTTTTTCTATACAACTTGACCACGGCTACTTTGATGTTTTAACAATTTAAATGCAATAAGAAAAAGTGTTATGTTGTGATCAACTTTTAATTGTTGATCTTTTCTAAAGTTTTTATTTTATGCGAAGGCTTTAAATAATATCATAAAATTAATTATAATGATCGTTTAAATAAACGCATTAATAAAAGATGTTATATGTAAGTTTTTTTTTTTTTTTGTAGGCACAAGCCTTCCCAAGCAAGGCATGCAGTTTTTCGTCTTGTATGACCACACCTCAGTATTTTATTTTAGACAACTTGGTCATGGTCGTTTGCAAGTTTTTTTATATGCGTTGCTGACAAGTTTTAAAAACAAAATAACAAAATCGGAATTTAAAATAAACTTAAATAGAAAATAATAGTAACAATAATTTAAATAATTTGTGTACTGTTTTTATTTTTGTTTCTTCATAGTGGTTATTATTTTTGGCAACAAAATTCGGTCAAAGTCAAAACAAAAAAAAAAATTTTTAAACATGAAAAAGAATGATATTCCTATATTTTGTTATTTTTAAAAGGGGAAAGTGAAAATATAAATTGTCATCTGTTTGTAAAATATATTTGTATAATTTTAATATAACAAGTATATTTCAAGGGGTGAATCAAGCGATCGCAATTTGCAAACCCTGGAAAAATATCTGATTTTCAAAATTTTAGTTTATGCAAAGCTGTGTACTTTGTTTTCAAGGAGCAAATTATTATAATTTTGGTAGCGAGAAAAATATAAAAACAAAGCAAACAGTAAACTTATGACTACAAAAATAATAATACTCTCATCACTAATTGCATTATAAAAGTAATAAAACTATAATAGTATTATTACTTTTATAAAGCACTTATTACTTTTAAAGTTAATTCTTTCTTCAAACAACATTAGTAATTCCAAACAATTATTAAAGTAGAAAAGCATCTAGAAAAAATAAAGATATTCGAATATTCGAATATTGAAAGCTTGAGGAATTTTTACAAATCACGAAAACAATTTTAAAAAAATGCACTTAATAAAAAGTTAAGCATTATGAAAAATGTCACTAATAGTCCGTATAAAGGCGTATTTAATTTTAGAATCAACCTATAAAAATTTTTATGGGTTGATTTGAAAATTAACGCGCTATTTTATGTATCATTAGTAACGTTTTTAATAATGCTAAACTTTTTATACATTACGTTTTGATTAAGTTACGTTCACGTTTTTATAAGTTACTTAAGTTTTAAATATTATTTGGATATCCACTATATTTTTCTAGATGCTTTTCTACTTCAATTAAAATTTGGGAGAACTTATTTTATTAGAACAAAGAATGAATTATAAAAGTTACAAGTGCGTTATAAAAGTAATAACACTATTATAGTGTTATACTTTTAAAATACAGTTAGTCACTAGAGTGTTATTACTTTTGTATTTGTAAGTTTATTGTTTTATTTCTTATAACTTTTTTGCTAACAAATTAAAGTTGATTCGCCCCTAGAAAACAAAGAAAATGTTTTTGTATAAACTAAAATTTTGAAGACCAGATATTTTTCCAGATTTTGCATTTCGTGATCGCTAAATTCAACTCTTGTTGTTATATAAATATACTTTACCAATACATTGCAATTTATATTTTTGCTTAATAAAGGAAAATCATTCTTTTTATTGTAGACTTTAAACCTTTTTTTTTTTAATTTGCCTTATCTAGTTTTTTTGCTGAATGTAACAACGACTCTAAAGAAACAAAAATAAAAACAATACATAAATTATTTAAATTAATAATTTATTTTTGTTTTTTTCTATTCAAATTTATTTTTATTTCCTATTTTGTTAGTTTTTGCTTTTTTTGTTTTTGAAACTTTTTTCGCCATGATTAATATTATAAAACTTGCAAATGGCCCTGATCAAGTTGTCTAAAATAAAATATTTTTGTGTGGTCATACAAGACCAAAAACCGCGCGCCTTTCCTGGGAAAACTTGAGGCATGCATTTTTTATGATAAATTTAAATGCTTGAAACTATTTTTTTATGTCTTCCTAAAAATATTTTTAAAAATTATATTTTGAAAGAATTTTTTTTAAGTTACTTTAATTTATGAATAAGTTCAAAACTTTTTGTGGCAACTTGTTTAGAACTCGTGTAGAAACATTTTACATGAATTATACAAGAATAAAAAATAACTTTATTTACTTATAGAAGCATGTATTTTGTTGATTAATGGAAAAGTTTTGAAGTATTTTGAAATGTTCATATGATTAATTTTTATAATTAAACTTATGATTTTTTTAAATCTTCTAAACAAACATTTCATTTTTTGAAATTTTTTTTTTTTTTTTTAATTACAATATGAATGAATGAGTTTTATAATAATTTTTAAATTCGTGACGTGAAACGCTTTTAATAAAGTTACAATTTGCTTGTAATGC